GATTAGTGAAATGACTGCAAGGTTTCGTTGGCATTAAAATATATATAGCTCAAAACATGTGTCAGTGAATAACCTGTTTATTAGCACGTGGCGTACAGTACTCGCAAATCAAATTATATTGTGTATTCATGATAGTCATGAATCAGCTGTCAGAATGTTTGTCACTTATCATTTTCAACACAAGTTGAACCAAATGTGCACAAAACCAGGCAAAAACAATTGAAACATAAGTTCCATGTACTTCCATCTAGCTTGACCAATATTTCAAAAAATTCCCCAAAAATTTCCCCAAAAAATGCGATTCCCCAGATCGCTCCCCAAAAATCCGCCAATTTCCCCGTTTTGGGGAAATTTCCCCAAAAGTGAGAGCCCTGGTCCAAACCTCTAGATCTTCTAAGAACACATCTAACATATTTAGAATGTTTGCTGACTCAAGTGCCCTTTCTGGTCAATGCCCCCTCCCCCCTTAATATGAGCGTTTTAGACGTCGCCGTTGCTCTATGTTATACGCATAGATATCTTATATACACTAGATAGTGCATCTAATTATTCTACAATTCAAAAATTGAAGCCGTGATGCAGACTCAGGATATTCCCATGAAATGAGAAGATTCGTATGTTTTCTATTTCTTAAACACGGAACTTAAATATTAAGGTAAACTTTTTCCAAATACATTTTTAAACTATTCAAATGATGAAAGTTATTGTTGTTTTTAAGCGTTTATTAGCGAATGGGAAACACCAACATGGCCGCCATCTATTCAAATGGGGATAACCGCTGGACTATTATTGGCTTCAATTTTACTAAAAGAGATGCGCTATCTAGTCCATATAAGATATCTATGGTTATACGTAACATACAAAAGATTCTCCTCATAAAAATTTGGCTCCTTAAAATCAAAAGGAAGCGCCATCCATTCTTAGGTTTTAGATCAATAATAGAACTACAAATGTGATATCATTTTAGGATACGTGCGTTCCAAATCCGTGCGTGACTGGGAACTGCAAGTCTGACAAGAAGGCAGGATTCATATGCCAGAATTGTCCTGCGAAAATAATCGGTAAAAGATGTGATATATGCACAGGTACAAGAAGATTTTTCTATGATTTCTGATACGGGCCTCCACCTTCTTCCCTGCACAGTAGAACTCTGCTCAATCTCGTCCCCAGGGCATTTTGCCTCCACGGCTGAAGGTCGGCAAAAATGGCCCTGGGATCCATGCAAGTTACGCACCTGCCAAGAATTTAGATTTTGTGTACTTAAATGTTACACATATTATACTCATGTATATTAAAAATTCTTAAATGGAAGAATGAATTAAGAAAGAGAAAGTATATGATAGGAAGTGTAGAGCGATAGAGTAAATATAGGCAAGACATGCATGTGGAAAGACAAATAAGACAGACATTGACATACAAACAGCCAGCCATTTCCTGTAGCAAGGACAGTCACGTGCTAAGGATCACGTACAGGACAAATCATCATCATAGACTATGTGAAGAAGATGAGAATAGTTACGCTTAAGAAAGGTTGTAAAAGTAATATCACTGGAAAAAAAGTGAAAATCCATAGAAGGTCATAGAATGGAAATTGTATGGACCTTTATGGGAAATAGAATGGATTTTGGTTATCCATAATAATTGTATATTTCCATAGTTCATGGATATAGTATGAAAATAGTATGGATATACCATGGATTTTGTGGTGTAATGGACCTTTGCATTATAGACTAAATTTTGATCTAGACAAAAATTTCATCCCAGCTTGAAAGAGCATCACAAAATTAGTAATATTCCAACGTTTCGTTGCGAAATGTTGTAAAATGCGGATAATATAGCCTTGCGAAATTTGCAATTTTCAGTCAGTTTGTATTACAAACGGGAAATTGATGCCCCAACACCCGATTGGGCTGTCAATTTCCCGTGCGTAATACAAAATTAATGACTGAAAAACGGCAAACTTCGCATGGCTATATTATCCGAATTTTACAACATTTCGCAACGAAACTTTGGAATATTACTAATTTTGTGATGCTCTTTCAAGCTGTGATGAAATTTTTGTCTAGATCAAAATTTAGTCGGTAATGCAAATGGTCCATTGCAAATTTCGTAGTATGGATTTCACTTTTTTTTCCCAGTCAATGGGACCGGAGAAAGTGTCAGGATCACCATCCTTATACACACTCAGTTCCAGGGTTCGACTATGCGGTTAAAGAAAGATGATTGGAAAGTAGTATTTCGACACATATGAGTTTGAAGGACAACACTAGAAACCTGGCCGAGTCTAGTACGGCCATGTCCAACGGAAGTCGTATAATTGTTAATGTTAAGGTTAATATAGTCGTACAGAGCCTTAAAAAACAAAGTAAGGTATTATAAGATTACATTTGCCGCTTCTCCTTGCAAAGTGATGCATGTGCTCAAATTAAGTGCTCAAATTACGAACAACCGGTGTTCTCGCTATAGCATGCTAGCTTTTGAACAATTGTGCACAGGATAAAGATCAGTAACAGAAGGGCCACTCAGCGGTGCAACGTGCCCGAGTTTTATTATGCAAAAATGTGCAGGTTACTGGCCAGAAGGCGGAGCAGCCAGCCAGTACAGCGTGTGTATTGGCCAGAAAATGTCATTGACTGGCTAGGAAAATGGCGGCCAACATGCGTAATGCGACATGCGCGAGGACAGAAACTTCAAAGCTTCCGACGTAAGTGGCCCTTCTATATGGATCTTTATTCTATGCAACTGTGCTTTGATAGAAAAAATTGCAAAACTTGCCTATTATAACAGACGAGCAAATACAATTTGTCATAAAAGTTTGTTCGTCTGTAACTGGCATAAGTGACCTGGAATTCTTCAGGGGTAAGGGTTTTCCTTAGAATTACGCCTGTATTCTAAAAGCTCAGTCACACTCGAAGAGTGGAGGTTCAATCTGAGCTTCTCCAGTCCTGAGTGTCAATGCTGTTTTTGAATAGCTGGAGGGTTAGTCTCGTACCTCACTATGTGACTACTCACCCTCCAGCTATTTAAAAACAGCACTGATGCTCAAGGGAAGCTCAGATTAAACCTCCACTCTCTGAGTGTGAGTGAGCTTTTAGAATACAGGCATAAGGATTTTAACCTTGAAATTCCTTAGAGGTAAGGGTTTACGAAACCTACAAGATTATTCGTATTACGTTTTTGGACGCTCTCTGGTTTAAACTATTTGTTAATTTAAGGAGGTTTCGACTGCCTATCTGCAGCCTTAACGGGTAAGTTACGAGATATTACAATGGTTTACAATTACATGTATAGACAACATTGTAAGAGTGGGTCAAACATAGCGAAGCACGCTTGGAGAAATAATCATAGAATAGACGTTGAAAACAGTGAAGTAATTGATAAAGGCATAGATCAACATTGGAATCCTGACACACTGCAAACACAAAAAATGCTGATAATAACTCAAATCATTTACCAGAACAATATCACAAAAGAAACTTTTTATAATTTGAATATAGTAGTCGCAATTTTCTGCGACTCGAGTCTGATACGAAAAATGATTCGACTCGACTCGAGTCAACAGCCCCAAATGGCGTGAAATCACTGACTCGGCACTACTCCACCAGATAGTGAAATGATTCGACTTGTTGGTGACTCGTTAAGCCCTGGGCAAACTAGGAAACATTGTTGCGGAAACATTTGTGATTCTCGATGTTCCCTCAAATGTTTCCATGTTTGGCCACCCGTGGAAACATTGTTGCGGAAACAAAATTTGCTTCACGAGAAGCAAAAATGTTTCCTAGCAAATTCAGAAACATTTGATGTTTCCCTATGTTTCTCACTAATGTTTCCTAGTGTTTGCCCACTCTTGGAAACATGGCGAAACATTGGTAGGAAACAATGTTTCCGCAACAATGTTTCCGCAACAATGTTTCCGCAACAATGTTTCCGCAACAATGTTTCCCCAACAATGTTTCCGCAACAATGTTTCCTAGTTTGCCCAGGGCTTTACAAAACTGCTATCTCGTTGTTAATCATACATGCAGGCGAAGCTGTCACTCATTGTCACTCTATATTTTTATCTGTATATATAATTGTAAACCATTGTAATATTCCATTGTATCTTAATACCCAGTCGAAAGCTCGTTAATTAAAGCAACAAATATGCACCGTTGTTGCGCATTTTAAAGGAAATGGCAATATATTTTTTATTTTCTCATTTGAAAGAACTTTTAAGACTATATATAATACTCTTTTACCGTTTTTTTTCATATCTTGCTTACTTCTACAAATATTTTGATCGAAAGGAATAAAATGTGCGCCATCTTCAATTTTTGTAGATATGCATGTCACGTCACAACAGGGTTCACGCAATATTTTTATCTAGACAACTGACTAATCATTTTGCATTCAAAACAAACTATACTCTGTCTGCCCTTCGAAATACCAAGATCACTCAAAACCTTTAAAACATCTACCAATCAATATTTGGTTGGCAACGAATACTTTTATACGGTTAATCCCTGTTGTAACGTCACCAAAACTACCGTTAATGAGATCAAAAATTTATTCAAGATGGCGGACATCTCAGTACTTCAAGTGAAAATATTTCAAGGTCTAAGCAAGCTATGAAAAATCGGTAAAAGAAGTTAATACATAGTTTCAGAAGTTCTTTCAAATGAGAAAATAAACATTTATATTGCCATTTCCCTTTAAATCACTCTGTCTTTTATAGTTCCAGATCACAACTTTGCTTTGGGAAAGCCAACAGAACAATCGTCTACATATGCCAATATACATGGATCATTCGGGTCCAGTCTGGCTGTCGATGGAAATACAGGTGACGTTTATATATCCGCTCCAAGTCAACCTCAGTGTAGCATAACGTATCACGGTCAGCAGGATTGGTGGCGAGTTGATTTCGGTGAAACAATCCCCGTGGCTCGTGTGGCTATCACTAACCGTGGTGACTGTTGCTCGTATCGCATGAGTGATATCGAATTAAGGGTAAGATTAATGGAAACATTGTTAAAGGGATATGGCAGACTGCAGTATAAATTAAGTTTGTCTTTTTTGAAAGAACATTTAAAATGATATATAAACTTCCTTTACAATGATTCCGTACCTTGCTTTGTTTTCGAAATAAATTACTTATTTTGATCAAAAGCAGCGTGCATTCCGCCATCTTGGATATTCATTCGATATGCATACGTCACAAGTAGGGTAAAAAGCGAAATTTTTATCTTGGAAACCACATGTCATTATCAATATGAAACTCGATTTTCCAAAGTCCTTTTAGTACTCAATTAACTCACAACATTTTAAGAAACTTTTCGAAGAAATTTAGTCCCACATGAAGAAGTTTTAACAAATTTACCCTGCTTGTGACGTCATCAAAAACTCAGTTAATTAGGTCAATTACAATACCAAGATGGCGGGCTGCACACTGTTTTTGGTCAAAATATTCCGAAAACCAAGCAAGGTACGAAAAAGTTGTAAAGGGTCTTCATATATAACTTTAAAAGTTTTTCAAATAAGACAAAGTTAATTTTTATTACCATATCCATTTAAATACAGTAAAGCTTTCCTTACTTCCCTTCTGTAAAGGTACGGGAAGCTGGTCAACTCGGCCCACTGACCAACTCGGCCTATACCATCTTGGCCCAATTGTTAACTACTACCAAACAAATACAGCCATTTGCAGTTGCATTGGAGTAAAGTTTGAGAACATCCAGCTTGACTTAATTTAATTAAAATAAAGAATCTATCGAAGTTTTAAATTCTCGATCTGTCCGTTTTGATACTAAATTACTGATCATTCAAATCTCTCTCACAATTTGCAAAGATAGAATGCAGTCATGGCTCCTAGCTTGTTTAATGGTTAGATTAGTCAGTTTACGAGCAGGCGGAGTTGTTCCTTGAACGGTAGGCCGAGTTGGTTAGTGGGCCGAGTTTACTGTAAAGCAAGGTACGTTTACACACGACGATTAATCGGGCCGATTCAGCTTTAATTAAATAATATATGAAAAATACGCTGTCAACGTCATCTGACAACATTCGTCGTTAACATTCGGCAAAACGGCCCGATTAATCGTTGTGTTAAAACGCAGCTTAATACAGACAAACACCTGTCCAATACCATAGTTAATAGAATAGATGGTTTGGAAACTCATTAGAATAACAATATAACTCATTATCTATGTTAGTCAACGTTTATTCATAAATCTGGTCCTTCACCGTCACGTGTATATTCTATTGTATTTTTGCCCAATCACTGATAGCAATTTGCAATTTACCCTGTTGTTCGAATCACGGATAGGTAACTTTCCTAAAACATTGCTATTGGCTAGTTGGGCAAAAATACAATACGCACGTGACGGTGAAGGACCAGATTTAAGAATAAACGTTCACTAACATACACGATGAGTTATATTGTTATTCTAATGAGTTTCAAAACCATCCGTATTCTATTAACTATGCTAATACGGACACCTCTCTAATATGGACACCTCTCTAATATGGACATCTCTCTAATACGTACACCTCTCTAATATGGACATCTCTCTAATACGGACACCACTCTAATACGGACATCTCTCTAATACGTACACCTCTCTAATATGGACATCTCTCTAATACGTACACCTCTCTAATATGGACATCTCTCTAATACGTACACCTCTCTAATATGTACATCTCTCTAATACGGACACCTCTCTAATACGGACACCTCTCTAACACAAACACCTCTCTAATACGGACACCTCTCCAATACAAACACCTCTCTAATACGGACACCTCTCTAATACAAACACCTCTCTAATACAGACATCTCTCTAATACAAACACCTCTCTAATACAGACACCTCTCTAATACAAACACCTCTCTAATACGAACATCTCTCTAATACGGACACCTCTCCAATACAAACACCTCTCTAATACAGACATCTCTCTAATACAAACACCTCTCTAATACAGACATCTCTCTAATACAAACACCTCTCTAATACAAACACGTCTCTAATACGGACACCTCTCTAATACAGACATCTCTCTAATACGGACACCTCTCTAATACAAACACCTCTCTAATACGGACACCTCTCTAATACGGACATCTCTCTAATACAGACATCTCTCTAATACAAACACCTCTCCAATACGGACATCTCTCTAATACGGACACCTCTCTAATACGGACATCTCTCTAATACGGACACCTCTCTAATACAAACACCTCTCTAAAATGGATATCTCTCTAATACGGACACCTCTCTAATACGGATATCTCTCCAATACAAACACCTCTCCAATACGGACATCTCTCTAATACAAACACCTCTCTAATACAGACACCTCTCTAATACAAACACCTCTCTAATACGGACACCTCTCTAATACAGACATCTCTCCAATACGGACACCTCTCTAATACAAACATCTCTCCAATACGGACATCTCTCTAATATAGACATCTCTCCAATACGGACACCTCTCTAATACAAACATCTCTCCAAAACGGACATCTCTCCAATACGGACATCTCTCTAATACGGACACGTCTCTAATACGGACACGTCTCTAATACGGACACGTCTCTAATACGGACACCTTTCTAATACGTACATATCTCAAATACGTACACCTCTCTAATACAAACACCTCTCCAATACAAACACCTCTCCAATACGGGCATCTCTCCAATATGGACACCTCTCTAATACGGACACGTCTCTAATACGGACACCTTTCTAATACGTACATATCTGAAATACGTACACCTCTCTAATACGGACGCCTCTCTAATACAGGCACTTCTCTAATGTGGGCATTTCTCTAATACAGGCACGTCCCTAATATGAATGGGAACCTCTCTAATACAGACACTAAGAGACAAAGCAAAATGTCCATATTAGAGAGTTGGCCGTTTTATAGAGGACACTACGACGACGATGATTCTACTGACAGTGTTAGTGACCTTATCATAAACGTTTGAATATTTCTTGCATATATTTGGAAGGTGCTTTTCCGCAATTTGATTGGCTGCTCAGCACCGAATATCCTTGTACTATTCCCCTCTACTTCGGTGAATAACTGTTTAAAATTATTATTATTGAAGGTGGGGGACAGTTTAGTGGATAACGGAGTGACAAACCCGAAGTGTGGCGATCGATACAATCTTGGCACAGGTACAACAACTATTAAATGCATACCGATAATGTCTGGTCGATATCTGGTTATGCAATCACAACTTACTGTACCTATGAACTTTTGTGAAGTCGAAGTTTACTGCGAGTAAATTGAACACTCGGACTGATCATAAGGACTAGCCTGCTTTCTTTTCTTTCTTTTTTTATTCAATTAACTATTTACAGGTGCTTGTGTGATGTTACTCTGAGTGTACAGGGTGTATCAAAATAAACGCAATTCATCCTTTGTGCTTAATAACTTTCGAAATACTATTTCTAGTTAAACGCTTTTAGGCTTATTTCAAAGCCTGTTCTTTTCTCTTTCAAACAAACTATTATCCTTGTCTCCAATGCTTGTAATAATTGCACGGGAAAAGATTTAGTAAAACCTATCATTTTTAGTTGCTTTTTAATTATGCAAGTTTACTATGTTATTGTTTAGTCAGTTTAAATGTTAGAATTTTCTTCTTTAAACTTTAATGTTGCTGTCACTACATCTGGAAAACCACGTAAGAACAAATTAAAAGTATTTTAAAAGAGACCAGGTTGTTTGAAAATCCTAAACGAATGCTAAACATCGTCAAAACATTCTGGTGTCTGCGCCAGAGTGTCATCGAATTGCGATGTAATGTAAACAGAAATTATAGCAAGTTAATGTCAGTCAGCTTAGATGGTCCAAGCCAAAATTATATCGCATTTGAAGTTTCAAACTGAGTTAAAAATAGTGGAAGAAAAGCCGTAATTATACTTATTGTTACAATCCATTTAATAAAATGCACCATTTTTTTGTTTTAATGAAAAAATCAGTTATTTTCATGAGAACGATTTGTTATTCCATCTCAATTTTTTTAATCTCCAATCGCAATAACGTAAAGTATTATTGCCCGCGAACCAATGAGTCAAATTTAAGAAACAACCCACTGTTAGAAAGCTGAATGGCTACGCTTTAAAATGAATGTAAACTTTAACGTTTTCGTCTATTATTTGTTTAGCAATTTACATTTCAGTCGAGGATTGCGCTTTTTTTTATACACCCTGTATATCCACACCGGGCAGGCTTGAAAAATATGCCTGGCTACGAGTATATACACCCTGGATATACACTCATAATAACATCACACAAACATCTTATCCACCTGGGTACATTGCACCAGCACAGCAGATTTCATGATTATTAGATTACACTGATATCGAAGGAACTAGACTCAGTTCCGAAATATCGCATACTCGAACCGTCCTGACCGCGTAGCTCAGTTGGCAGAGCGTTGGGCTAGTGTTCCAAAGGTCGTAAGTTCGATTCCCACCGTGGCCAGGCATATCTCTCAAGCCTGCCCGGTGTGTATATACATTCAGAGTAACAAGCATCTTATTCACCTGAGTACATTACACCAACACAACAAATATATTTACAGATATTGCTGGAACGGTAGTACAGTGGAACCTCGTTAATACGACCACCGTTCGGCCAAAATATTTTGGTCGTATTAACGGGTATCGGATCAAATTACGGCACAACCTCGTTCCCAGGCTCTTTCCTCTTTGCTCCACAAGAGGAAAGAGCCTGGGAACGAGGTTGATTACGGCATAGACGTTTTTTGACATCTGTGCCATAAATGTTTTTTAACATCTTTGAAAACCGCTTTGTCAAGTTTACACTTTCTTCTAGCCGCATGTAATCCAATTTATTGTTCAATTGTTTAACTATGATATATTACATTACGCTTGTCTTCACTACATAAACGGCCAACGGGGCATTTTTGGTGGTCGTATTAAAGAGTGAAAGAAGTTTTCCACTTCAAGCGTAACGTACCAACACGTATCAAAACAGATTTTAAATTTCAATATTTAGTGAATGTTGATTGGTTAATACTTCCGTAGTACGCCAAAAAGTTGACTTGCGACGAACTTTTCATTTTGATACGCGAATACACCCGGAAGAACACCGCGGAAAAACGTCTGCGCATGCACCAAATTATGAAAATATGGCGGGGAATTTGAATATCAATTTCTAAAACAAAAATATGCTTATTAATTGGTCAAAAATTAGTAAAACAAACGAGAAAATATAGCAAATGGGTAGATTAGACATTAATTGAAAGCGTCCTGGCATTTAAAGTATGGAATGAAATATAATTCATGTAAAAAATTGTTGATTTTAACGGACACGACTTCGAAAATTTTTGCAAAATTATTCAAGACAAAAATTCAAACTAAAAAGTTAAGAAAACTCTCGAAAAGTTAAGCTTCTTAACCCACTCAAATTGTAGAATAAATCCTAAAGTTTAATTATTGTGAACACGAAAATTTTTTATATTTGGCGACACAGTTTTTTTTAAAGAAATGTATCTCAAACGAAAATTCGGAAATTGTCGTTGCTTAGTTGATAAACAAAATGTTTCAGACGATAAATTTGTCAACAATCACCTTTAGTTCATGTTCTTGTACAATACAATTTCTTGAACCTTCTGGCTGTATTTATTCCTAGTTTTTAGAATTGCATGTCTATTTTTGCGCTCGAAATCTGGCTGTAAAGACGCGCAAGGAAGCCCCTCCATTTTACCGCCATTTTGAGCCTTCGGAACAGCTTCTCATCAAGTTCGCAATACTATTACAGGTAAGGTTGACGCATGCGCAGACGTTTTTCCGCGGTGTTACTTCCGGTTGATTCGCGTGTCAAAATAAAAAGTTCGTCGCAAGTCAACTTTGAGCGTACTACGGAAGTATTAACCAATCAATATTCACTAAATATTGAAATTTAAAATCTGTTTTGATACGTTACTGTACGGTACGTTTGAAGTGGAAAACGACCTTTAAAGCCTAGTTTCCATTTGGTCGTTAGTTGTCGCTGGCACGACAAGCGGTAGATGTGAAATAGTCTAACATAATAATAATCTTTTTGTGTGTTATATGCAAATCAGTCTTAATGATTGCAGAGTTTTGTAAAGTTTTGTTGACAATCTATTAAGCCTAGTTTCCATTTGGTCGTTAGTTGTCGCTGGCACGACAAGCGGTAGATGTGAAATAGTCTAACATAATAATAATCTTTTTGTGTGTTATATGCAAATCAGTCTTAATGATTGCAGAGTTTTGTAAAGTTTTGTTGACAATCTATTAAGCCTAGTTTCCATTTGGTCGTTAGTTGTCGCTGGCACGACAAGCGGTAGATGTGAAATAGTCTAACATAATAATAATCTTTTTGTGTGTTATATGCAAATCAGTCTTAATGATTGCAGAGTTTTATAAAGTTTTGTTGACACTCTATTAAGCCTAGTTTCCATTTGGTCGTTAGTTGTCGCTGGCACGACAAGTGGCTGATGTAATAGAGTGTCACAAAACTTTATAAAACTCTGCAATAATTAAGACTGATTTGCATATATAACACACAAAAAGACTATTGATATTAGACTATTTCACATCTACCGCTTGTCGTGCCAGCGACAACTAACGACCAAATGGAAACTAGGCTTTTAAATAGGGACATCAAAAGGTGGTCGTTGGCCGTGTTAACAAGGTGGTCGTTTTCAGATGAGAAACGCGGAGTACTTAGGTGTTGTTCGGAGAAATGAAAAGTGGTCGTATTATCGGGGTGGTCGTATTACGAGGTGGTCGTATGACAGGGTTCCTCTGTAATTATAAGAACTAAAATATATGTAGTTATTACTGATGTCTAATAGTTATTTCTAACGTTAAGGTGGCTCGATATAGTTTTTTAAAAATGGAACATTCACGATTTAGATCCGTATTTTTTGAGAATTATTACCCGCCGAAAAAAAAAAGTATCTATACTGATGTAAAACAACATCTAAAGGTTTGAATTTTTTCACAACTGCCATTGCTACGGCAACAATGACGTTTCAAAATGTCGGATATTTTGGCTTTAAAGTAATTTAACTTGTAAACAACATCGGTGATCCCCACAAAATGATTTCTTTTAGTATACTCAATTATTTTGACAATTTAAAAAAATTCTAAGTTCTTTGTATGTTTGCATGGCGATAAAATATAATAGTTTTGTTTGTGGAAACACCACGTAAATTTATTACTGCAAAGCTTTCGATCCGTAAGCCCGGATCTTCATCAGTGCTAATAATATGTCACATATATCACATATTATTAGCACTGATGAAGATCCGGGCTTACGGATCGAAAGCTTTGCAGTAATAAATTTACGTGGTGTTTCCACAAACAAAACTATTAAAAAAATTCTGTTGAGCCAAAATGTTTCAAATTACGTACATGTGATCATTCATAATACTTTTTTTGGCTTAGTTTTTTTATCAAAATAGTTGAGTATACTAAAAGAAGTCATTTTATGAAATAAAAAATTAGCCCAACTTCAAAACCAAATAATATTAATTTTAGTAACGTATTTTATGTACTGGTTGAGTCGGTTTTCTTTGATGTAGCACGGGTGTATATAGGTTATAACCCGTGAATAAATAATTAGATAAAACTTGTCGACAAAACTCGAAAAATCTTGAACGAAAAGTCTTTGAAATTGATGAAACCTTGTTCGAAAACCTCCTCGACTAGTAAATAAGTCGGCTATAAACCTCGGACGTGGGATATTTGCCATTAGTGTTTGTTATACATTTATTGTTTGTTATTTAACAAATATAAAACATTTTCCGTGTTGATATACAGTTATATCAACACGAGTGGAAATTGGGAAAACGAGAAAGAAATTTTCCGACGTTTCCATGTGACATCGAGTTATATCAACACAGCTCTTCGTCAATCAGAGTTCATATTTTACAAATACTATATTATAAACAGGTTTGTTACATCACAATAGCGCTGCACCGGAATCGCAGGTCCGAATTCTGCGAGAGGACCTATAGTTGCACTTTTCGAAACTGCTCCTGGTTAGGTGTAACAAAATGTATAAAAATTCCACTCGAGATTTGCACCTACAAACAGGGATGGATTTACTGGGGTGGTGCGGGGGGGGGGGGGGCTATTTTTCATGATAAAGCAAAACATTATTAGAGACAAAATGAGATATAGTAATTTGAGTAATAACATGATGATAAGCGAACTGTAAACACAAATACTGTAGTCAAGCAAGACTTTGTAGTCAAGCAAGACTTTGCAGTAGTGAAGTAATTTGATGGGCGGCACACATGACCGACACAACTCGGCACCAGAGCTGGCAGAGCACCCCCCCCCCCACCCACCCCCCCTACCCTATCAGATCATGCTGGATCAGCTCGATCTCTTCCGAAAATTAAGGCTATGTCTTAATTGTAAAAAGCGTTCAAAATTAAGACATTGTCTTAATTTTAAACATAACCCCCACCCCAACCCTAACCTCTAACCCACCTAACCCCTAACCGCTAACCCTAATCTAATCTTAGTCTAACCCTAATCCAATCCAAATCTGGCGACCTTTTTTTTTTCAAAATAGCCTTAATTTTGAGAAGAGATCATGTTGGCCGGATCCATCCCTGCCTACAAATCCCTTCATGTATTGAACAGTTTAAAACAAAAATTTGTGGAGCAATAATGACCGCAAGCCAACGGCAACGTTTTGTTTGCGGTTTTAACCCGTTATAAACTTGGCGTTGTCAACTAAACGAAACTCATTTGACTTTAACAACAGTGAGGATACATTAACAAGATGAGACTTGATTACTTGGTTCCAGTATTGTGTGCCATAATCACTTTAAGCCATGTAATGGCACAACTAACGCTTGAAAGTGCGAGGGGGAAAATGAAATTTAAAAAATTCCTTCACATCCACAAACATCGCTTGGATGTGAAGCCTCTGGCGTCTTTTGAAGTTGCCAAAGAAATGAAATGTACTGCAAGCTGTACGAAAAGTGAAGAATGTTTCTCATTTAATGTCAAGAAGTTGACAGCGAACAGTTTTCTGTGCGAATTGCTCAACACAAGTAAATATATCGATGCCGAAAATCTAACGCAGGACAACAGCTTTTCACATTACTATTTACAGGTACTAAATGATTAATTATTTTCTTCCATAATATATAGACACTTCTCAAATCTGCTGGCCAGGTAGTTCATTCATTCATTCAGGTAGTTGAATTCCTCTCAATTTCTCTTATTTAAAATGGACTACATTGGCACATTGCCCGCGTTGATTTCAAGCTGTCGTTTCGTGAAACGTGTGTTTTGAGTTTGTATGTTTGTTTTTTTTCTTACTTTGTTCATGTCGGGGGAAAATATTTCCAAATCACAAATTCAACCCATTGACATTTACTGTGTATGTCAATAATTTAACCCATTGAGTTTTAAAACTCGATTCAAGTTTTGAGATTTTGGGTCTGTTCATGCAACGGTCGCAAAAAAGTTCTGAAAAAAAAGCTAAACTGTTTGATTTGTACAGAGTTTGAAAGAGTCAAGAGCCAAGAAGCAATTTTTTTCAACGCGCGTATTTGCGACAAAAAGTGTTCAAAACCTAAAATCTTTTTGGCGTTCCTCTCAAAAATTACTTTTTTAAGCTTTATTTTGCAGTTTACACAGTTAGGAACCTTTTTAAATGTATCTGGCGGTTGAGAAACACATAATTATAGTTAAATATTGTCAATTTAGATACAAATATCATTGATGCTGTAAAATTGACGCCATATTTATATGCAGCAATATAAGCAAAATTTACTGAACTTCAGACATCATTTTCTCTTTGGCGTACCATCTAAAATCTCTTCATTTTAACCTAATTTTACAGATAAAGCACTAAACATACTTTTTAAGTTTGTTTGCCGCTTGTGAAAGGTATGACAAATTTTAAAAATTGAATATAGTCATAACGAAGAGGAAAAGTATATTCATTAGTTTGAGCGCGCGTGTTACGTAACATACAAAAGATTCTCCTCTTAAAAATTTGGCTCCTTAAACTCAAAAGGAAGCGCCATCCATTCCTATAGATTTTAGATCAATAATAGAACCACAAATGTGATATCATTTCAGGATCCATGCGTTCCAAATCCGTGCGTGACTGGGAACTGCAAGTCTGACAAGAAGGCAGAATTCATATGCCAGAATTGTCCTGCAAAAATAACTGGTAAAAGATGTGATGTATGTGCAGGTACAAGAAGATTTTTCTATCATTTCTGCTTCGGGGCTTTATGGCTGGAATTCCTCAAATCTTCTTCCCTGCACAGTAGAACTCCGCGTTCAACCTCGTCCCCAGGGCATTTTGCCACCACGGCTGAAGGTCGGCGAAAATGCCCCTCATGGGATCGGCTGGTCACATGACACCCAGAATTTCTGGGTGTTTTGATACGATAATTTATGTGAACAAAGAAATTGTTTGTTTGTTCACAAATAATAAATGAGAAGTAAGGAACAATTTTCCAACTTATTCATCTAAAGGCTTTATCTTTAGAGCAGTATACTTGCCTTCTTATATCCATGAGTCCGACAAACTGTCACAAACACATAGCAAGACAAGTATACAAAGGACGTAAGTGAGTCTTGACTATACTCTCGGACAATGCAGTCTCGATATTTTCTTAAGTTTGCCGTATCATTTGAAGACAAAAAAATTTAAAAGCACTAGAGTTGTTTGAATATAGCTCACACTGCAAAAGAATGGACCATTTGCATTATAGACTAAATTTTGATCTAGACAAAAATTTCATCACAGCTTGAAAGAGCATCACAAAATTAGTAATATTCCAAAGTTTCGTTGCGAAATGTTGTAAAATGCGGATAATATATCCTTGCGAAATTTGCAATTTTCAGTCATTTTGTATTACAAACGGGAAATTGATGCCCCAACACCCGATTGGGCTGTCAATTTCCCGTGCGTAATACAAAATGACTGAAAAACGGCAAACTTCGCATGGCTATATTATCCGCATTTTACAACATTTCGCAACGAAACTTTGGAATATTACTAATTTTGTGATGCTCTTTCAAGCTGTGATGAAATTTTTGTCTAGATCAAAATTTAGTCTATAATGCAAATGGTCCATTAATGCGTTTTGAACTGGCTAATGGGATTGTATGGAATTGACCGACCGATCCCAGGACAATTGAAATACGGTTTTCAGTCCTAAACAAAAGTTAGATAACTTTAATTATTGTTTAAACGAAATTAAGACGATTAATAGCATTCAACATTTGTTTTTTGTCCAAAACATGGAATTTCATACAATTTGTAACAAGCAGTTAATCAGTTTGTTAGATCATGAAGTGTGACAGTCATTTCAATTGCTCAAAATACTTCACACTTCATTGAATCCTGGGTAAGCAGGACCATATAAACAGCCGTTTTCGGCTAGAGAAATCACAAGATAAATTCCGCTCAGCGCGGAAAATTCCGCCTAGTGAAAAACGGCCTTTACCCGTTGAAGGTTGCGTAATGGCAGTCGAAAGCTCGTTGAAGCATTTTATATTTTAAATCACAGAGCGTCCAGAAAAACGTAATATGCACCGTTGTTGCGCATTTTAAACCACCCTGCCTTTTATATAGGTCCAAATCACAACTTTGCTTTGGGAAAGCCAACAGAACAATCGTCTATCTATGTCATCGGTGCATACGGATCATTCCCGTCCAGTCTGGCTGTCGATGGAAATACAGGTGACGCTTATAAAAGCGCTGAAAATAAACCTCAGTGTAGCATGACGCACGGTGATCTCAAGGCTTGGTGGCGAGTTGATTTCGGTGAAACAATCCCCGTGGCTCGTATGGCTATCACTAACCGTGGTGACTGTTGCTGGAGTCGCTTGAGAGATGTCGAATTAAGGGTAAGACAAATAGAAACATTGTTAAATACAGTAAAGCTTTCCTTTCTTGCCTTCTGTAAAGGGAAGTTTACACACGACGATTAATCGGGCCGATTCAGCTTTAATTGATGCTTGAAAAATACTCTGTAGAACGAAGACCAAACAGTTTACTGTAAACTACCAAGGCCCTAAATTTTTTAATTCTTTAAATTGTGAAATTCGTGATTCACCCTCAATCTCAACATTTCAATCTAAGCTCTCTTTATAGCTAATCAGTTCTCGTGTTTGTTATGTTGTCGCATTGTACTCCTGTTTGTCTTCTTTATGTGTGCAGACATTGTTATTTTAATCAATGTATTATAATTATTGTTAGTTTGTAACCGTAATTGCATGTCAGTGAATTATTGAGTTATTGCTGTACATGATGAGCTAACCCACGATTCCAATAAACCTTCTGGTTTCCACTTGGGTTTCCTCGTCACTATCTGTCTTCTTGTTTTGTTAATGTATTATTTTATTTTGTTGGCAAAATTAAAATCAAATCGATCAAATCTGACCACATCGTCAGCTGATAACATTCGTCGTTAACATTCGGCAAAACCTGAAATCGGCCCGATTAATCGTCGTGTGTAAAGGTAGCTTAATACAGACAAACACCTCTCTAATACCATACCAATATAACTCATTATCGATGTTAGTCAATGTTTATTCATAAATACGGTCCTTCACCGTCACGTGTGTACTGTATTTTTGCGAAATCCACCAATAGCAATTTTCAATTTACCCTATTGTTCGAGTCACGGATAGGTAACTTTCCCATTGGTTAGAACATTGCTATTGGTTAGTTGGGAAAAAATACAATACGCATGCGACGGCAAAGGACCAGATTTATGAATAAACGTTCACTGACATAGATAATAAGTTATACTGTTATTCTAATGAGTTTCCAAACCATCTATTCTATTAATTATGCAAATACAGAAACGTATGCGGACACGTTTGACACGGATACATTTCAATACGGATACCTTCTCTAATACGGACACCTCTCTAATACGGATACCTCTCTAATACGGACACCTCTCTAATACGGACACTTCTCTAATACGGACACCTCTCTAATACGGACACCTCTCTAATATGGACACCTCTCTAATACGGATACCTCTCTAATACGGACACCTCTCTAATACGGATACCTCTCTAATACGGACACCTCTCTAATACGGACACCTCTCTAATATGGACACCTCTCTAATACGGATACCTCTCTAATACGGACACCTCTCTAATATGGATACCTTCTCTAATACGGACACCTCTCTAATACGGATTCCTCTCTAATACGGACGCTTCTCTAATACGGACACCTCTCTAATACGGACACCTCTCTAATACGGATACCTCTCTAATACGGACATCTCTCTAATACGGATACCTCTCTAATACAGACATCTCTCTAATACGGATACCTCTCTAATACGGATACCTCTCTAATACAGATATCTCTCTAGTACGGATACCTCTCTAATACGGACACCTCTCTAATACGGACACCTCTCTAATATGGACACCTCTCTAATACGGATACCTCTCTAATACGGACACCTCTCTAATACAGACACTTCTCTAATACGGACACCTCTCTAATATGGACATCTCTTTAATACGGATACCTCTCTAATACGGACACCTCTCTAATACGGACACTTCTCTAATACGGACACCTCTCTAATACGGACACCTCTCTAATACGGACACCTCTCTAATACGGACACCTCTCTAATATGGACACCTCTCTAATATGGACACCTCTCTGATATGGATACCTCTCTAATATGGACACCTCTCTAATATGGGCACCTCTCTGATATGGACACCTCTCTAATATGGACACCTCTCTAATATGGACACCTCTCTAATACGGACACCTCTCTAATACGGACACCTCTCTAATACAAACATCTCTCTAATACGGACATCTCTCTAATATGGACACCTCTCTAATACGGACACCTCTCTAATACGGACACCTCTCTAATACGGACACCTCTCTAATACGGACACCTCTCTAATATGGACACCTCTCTAATATGGATACTTCTCTAATACGGACACCTCTCTAATATGGACACCTCTCTAATATGGATACTTCTCTAATACGGACACCTCTCTAATACGGACACCTCTCTAATATGGACACCTCTCTAATATGGACACCTCTCTAATATGGACACCTCTCTAATATGGATACTTCTCTAATACGGACACCTCTCTAATATGGATATTTCTCTAATATGGACACCTCTCTAATACGGACACGTCTCAAATACGTACACCTCTCTAATACGGACATCTCTCTAATATGGATATCTCTCTAATACTGACATCTCTCTAATACGGACATCTCTCTAATATGGACACCTCTCTAATACGGACACCTCCCTAATACGTACACCTCTCTAATACGGACACCTCTCTAATACAAACACCTCTCTAATACGGACATCTCTCTAATACAGACACCTCTCTAATACGGACATATCTCTAATACAAACACCTCTCTAATACGGACACCTCTCTAATACGGACATCTCTCTAATACAAACACCTCCCTAATACGGACACCTCTCTAATACAAACACCTCTCTAATACGGACATCTCTCTAATACAGACACCTCCCTAATACAGACACCTCCCTAATACAGACACCTCTCTAATACGGACATCTCTCTAATACAGACACCTCTCTAATACGGACATCTCTCTAATACAGACACCTCTCTAATACGGACACCTCTCTAATACAAACACCTCTCTAATACGGACATCTCTCTAATACAAACACCTCCCTAATACGGACACCTCTCTAATACAAACACCTCTCTAATACGGACATCTCTCTAATACAGACACCTCCCTAATACAGACACCTCCCTAATACAGACACCTCTCTAATACGGACATCTCTCTAATACAGACACCTCTCTAATACGGACATCTCTCTAATACAGACACCTCTCTAATACGGACACCTCTCTAATACAAACACCTCTCTAATACGGACA